TTGAATTTGCTTTACACAAATAACACATGACTGGTTGTCACAAACCATTAGTATGGGCACTTCCTAATGGAATTTGCAAAGAATCTCAAAATGCTAAATTTTAAGAGAAATTGAAAGGTGGTATGCCTCTACTTTCAAATGCTCCTTTTAGGGTGAAGTGTGAGAAGAGTGGCTTTGGGTTCAATCTTGATCCACCACTTCGAAGCTGTTTAAGTGAAGCAGGTTTACTTAGTTTCTCATAGCCTCAGTGTCCCCTTCTGCGAGTGGAAACACATCAGACATGTGGAGGAGTTCCCCTCAAAGCTGGCCCTTGCTCTCATGGGGGTTCCAGAACACAGAGAAATCACTAAGAAATACATAATGAATTGGATACAAACCGTGCCCCATTTATTTTCAATCAAATCAAATAGAAAACAGCTATTTACATTTCTAGATTAAATCCCAAGAAGTGAATGATGACAGGCAAATAATGGAAAACAGAGGTACTATGAAATAACAAATATGGACCCCACACAAAGTGCACATGCCTGTAAATCCAGCACCCTTGGAGGCTGAGTCAGGAGGATTGAAAATTCAAGCCCAACTTGGATAACCTACATAGATCCTGCCTCAAAATAAAAAATTAAAAATGGGCTGGGGATGCGCAGGCCCTGGGTTCACTTTCCAGTGCTGCCAAAAACATCAACCATAACCGGAGTTTTAAAAAGTTGCTTTGTTGCAACTACATTTTTGAAGGGATTCTAGAAAGCCAAAGGTAACTAGTCAAACCACATGGTCCACTGAGTAGATCACAGGGAAACCCGGATGGGGGCCAGTTCCAGAGCAGCAGGCGCAGCACCACGTGAGGGTGCGTCCTGGGTGATAACCCGCAGCCTGGGTTCCAGCTACAGACCCTAAATCAAATCCCATACACTCAGCTTCACTCAGCACCAGGAATACACCCCGTAAGGTGCTTCCTGCTAGACCCAGTCTTCAGGCGCAGACTCTAAGGCTCACACTTACCAGTGAATTTTTCATGAAACACCATTAATTGTTAGTCGCTACAAAACATGAGATTATGTGAAAAATATGATCTCTGCAGGGAGGCTCATTTTTACTTTCAAGATACTGTCACGGGGAATACTGTGTTATCACACAAAAAGCTCTGTCAGGGCCGGGGATTTAGCTCAGTGGTTTCGCCACCTGCTGCGCAAGCTCAAAGACCAGAGTTCAATCACCAGTACCAAAAAAAAAAAACTCTGTTAATAATCCCCTCAATAAAGTTTGTTTTTCCAATGCATTTCTGTCCTTATTTATAAGCATTTTACAAATTTTAATTCATCTTTCTCCCACTGTTGTTTTAATCAATCTATCACCTTTGTCTGAAAAAGTCAAACCACAACTGTTATTTTCACATGTGAGATTTTGCAAAATTAACCAGTTTTCTGTTCGTTCTGTATTAATTTTTCAAATTAATACATGATTGGTACACTATTTCATGAGGGGCAGAGTAAGAGAGGATGTCTACTTAAGGTGAGAAAATCTTTTCGAAATGTGTGGTAGGTAGCCACCAATAACAACATGAATCCCTTTGGCACTATTTTGTAGAGAGGAACTATTTTCTTTCTTTTCCAGCTTACCCAGATTCAAAAGAAACTTTTTATGTCTACTGGTAGCAAAAAACCAGATACAGTTATTCTGTAAGACCTCAATTAATAGCTACTTCCAAAAATCACTGTATATTGTAAAATGGTATATGGGTAAAAAAACCTTTAGCTAGAGAAAATAGGGCAAAGGAAAAATGTTTTAGGGAGTTAAAAGAGTTATACTCAATTTTAGTTTCTATTTTTTACTTTTTATTGGCAATTTATTAAGTGGTAGAAATTATAACAATGTTTTGATGCTGATCACTCCAAATCAGTTATGAGAAAACACAAGGCTAGATGTTTAGCACTGGACCTGTTATGTCACTGAAGTAGGGTCAGAGTCGAATGAAAGTGAAACCTGACGTCTCCTAACTCACCTATCACGTGTTTACAGAACCCGACTCAGTCCACCTCTTGGTGAAGAGCCAGGGAAGGGACAAACTTTCTCTCTACCCGTGAGGGTTCCGTCATTGCGTCTATGGAATAAACTGGCGATGGCAGAGTAACAGGACGAAAATACACACATCAGCTATGTGGACAGAGGAACGGGAGAGAACGCTGAATTCAGTGAAACTTACACACCTTCTTCACAGGGAGAGGAAATGATTCTGGGAAGGAGAAAGGGCCAAAGAGCAGCGCCAGCCCAGGACAGCGTCTCCGGGGGCGGAGTCACCGCCAGCCCTCTTCTCTAAGCCAAGAGGAGGCCCAGGCTCCTGCAAGTCCCAGAGCACAGCAAAGGAGATAAAAGAAGCCCAGGAATGCCCCCACCCCGCATCTGCTGCTCCCCAACTCAGTATATTTTGGGGTGGTATTTCCTGAATTCCTTCAAGGGCAACAGGTAACATAAAATACTTAAGACAAAGCTTGTTTCCAAGGAACTTACCTTAAGAAATCAAAAGAGTAAGTTGGTAAAAATGCTGGTGGTCAGTATGGACAGAATGTCTTACAGAAGAGGAGAGAGAAAGCCAGTTCCACATTTGCACTCCCGTGAAAGGCCACAGGAACCCTCACGGGACCTCTGAAGTGTGAGACTATGGAGGCCTTTTAGTTTTTGTACACTGTTTATGATTTTAGGTTTTTACAAGCACTATTATTTTTATAATCAGGGAAAGAAAGAAAAAAACAAAATAGTATGTCTATGAATAAACCCTGCAGGGGAACAAATGAATAGAAAATATTTGACTCAGGGTAACAGTGGTTCACAGGTGCATTTCGGTCTGTTTGCAAGTTATTGTGTTGTTCTAACAGAATTTTAACAACAGATTTAACTCAACAGTAAAAGAAGTATGTGGAAAATGAGATCTTTGATTTGAATAATCTGCTTTAATTATGTATGTAATTATGTATTTAATTATGTATTTGCAGTGGAGGCCTCATTGCCATTTTTATTTCTAGCTAGAGTAGGGTTGTAAAAATAATTAAGGTGCATCCTCTATTTCTGTTTGTAATTTGCTTTTTTCTTTTTGTGGTACTAGGGATTGAACTACAGTCTTAGCAGTGAACTACATGCCCAGTCTTTAAAAAAAGTTTATTATTAGTAGTACTATGTTTTAATTTTGAGAAAGGATCTCACTAAGTCACTAAGTTGCCCAGGCTGGGCTTGAGCTTGCAATCCTCCTGCATCAGCCTTCCAGGGTGCTGGGATTACAGATGCACACCACCGTGCCAGGCTATGTAATATGCTTTTTCAAATTCTTGTATGATACTCAATCTAGATGGAAAATGGTAGAATAAATCTATCAATCTGCATGTGATGACCTATTTCATTACCATCTGTTATCAAGGTACTGTTCTTTATCAGGAAAATGGAATTGGTCATTTACTGAATCACCAAATGCTTTCATCATGTTAATATACTGTCCTGAAAAAGCAGAAAGAAAACTAAAGCAACCTCCGTCTGTGTTCCACACGCGCAGCAGCCGCCTTGACCCTCCCGTGGCGAGACGGCCCAGCCTGGAAACGGACCTGACTGCAGCGGGCCTGGTTGTCCCGCGGGCCAGACTGTTTCTCCAATTCTGCAGTCTTGTTTTCAGCGTCACTCTAGGCTGAATTTTTCTTTTCATGGACGGCAAAGGCTGTGATATCTCTGCAGCTTTTCTTATTTAATGCAACTCAGTTGTCTCTAAGTGAAAAAACTGACGTGCCAAGAAATTCCCTGTTAAGGAAGGCTTGCGTCCTCCGGCCATGAACAGGGGCTGCCTGTGCTTGCTAACTCCACTTAAAGCTCAGATTCTTTGTACAGTTAACTGTGAGTTCCCAAGTACCCTTTAAGAACAATTACATTCACTGACTCGGTTTGCAAGACGATGGGAGCAGAGGAGCGGGAAGGCTCTGGAGGCGGCGCCATTCCCAAGCTCACAACGAGCAACCAAAACCAAGAAGACCCTCAAACTAAGGGCAGATTCAAAATTTCATTTTCATGGCAGTGGTGGTTGAGGGCTGAAACTTTCTTACATTCGCTGGTATAGTAACATTTACACACGTCTATCTTCTGAAGTCATGTGCCTCAGAGTCTGAATAACGATACTGTAAGGTGAAGATCCAGGAGAAAGGAGGGCCCCGAACCTGCACAGTCACCCTAGTACCACGCACCGCAGACACAGGCGCAAAGCGTGGAGCGGGCATCTCTCCACCTGGCTGCAGGGCTGCACGGTCCAGAACCAGAGGGCGCAGTGTGGCCGGGAAGAGCAGGCAGCTTCCCCATGGGTCCACACAGATTCAAAGGGCCTTCAGGGGCCACGGCCCAGCAAGCTTCTGAACTCTCGACAGAACTGTTCTACTTTATTTGAAAAAAATCATAACTTTATTCTTGTTTCTATCCAAAAATTTCAGGTTTTTGTTTTGTTTTTGGTGGCACTGGGGATTACACTGAACTACATTCCTGCCATTTTTATTTTTTGTTAATTTTGAGACAGAGTCTGGCTAAGTCCCTGAGTTGCCCAAGCGGGGCTCAAACCTGTGAGCCTTCTGCCTCAGCCTCTCAGAGTGCTGGGATTATAGGCCTGCACCGCCACAGCTGGCCCTAAAAATTTAAGTTAAATCCCATTTTGATGAAGTTCTTAGAAATTATTACAAAGAAAACTACTTTCATAAATAAGAAAAAAATCTTCGTTTTGGTTCTCTAGCAGTTCAAATTGGCCCTTAAATTATTATTTCGATAAATAAACAGCACACTACCTTCAAACACCAAACTCTAACGGTGGGGCTTGGAGTGGGGAATCAGTTACAGAGAACATCCCAAGGGTGAAGCCGAGGGGTAAGGTGCCAGTGGCAAATACAATCGGCCTCCAGTGAATTACAACTTCACCTGTATCTTCATGGACTTGAAGGCAAAACTCAACAAAGAACCCATAGAATGAAATGATGCGGACCAACCTTTTATTGCACCCACAATATTCTGGTCTAGTCCTTTCCGGTTGTCATTCAGTCCTCTTTTCCTCTTCCCATTGGGTAAGGAATTAGCCAAAGTCTTGTCGTCAAAAAATGCACACACCAGTTTTCTAAACAGAAGGCTTCCTGAGCGCGTGTAGTTTGACAGTATAGAGTCCAGCTGCGATTTAGGCATGAACACGTCAAAGCCTTCAGCAAGTTGCACTTCTGGCTACCAAAAGAACAGAAATATTTTATTGAAAGCAAGATCTGAAGCATCTGACTTGGGCATCAGTACAACGAAAATAATTGCTGCCGAAACATCCATATTATACATACACAGCACAAACTCAGTTATGAGTGCAGGATTTGCAATTTGTAAAGCCAATGACTGCTTTAATTCATAAAACGAAATGTTTTAATCCCAACATTAAGTCTTATCAAGAGCAATGGAAAAGAGCTCTCTGTAAACGGTTCCTGTTCTTACAGTTAAGGAAGGTCAGGTAGTCACAGAATCGTGTCATTCTAGAGCGCAGGGGATTCAGCCTTCCATAAGAAACACCCTCTTTTTGTTTTGTACCAGGGATCGAACTCGGGTCCTTCTGCTTGCGAGGCAGGCGGTGGAACCACTGAGCTAAATCCCCAACCCCAAATGCCCCCTTTTAAAGGAAGGAGCTAAGACCCAAAGCTATCACAACAAAAATGACCAGCAGAGAACCCAGACGTTCTCCGTGCATTACTACTTTCAGATTACTTTCTCACACATGAAAAAATTTAACTTCGTTCACATTAAGTCCCAAATATGGGGCTAGCCCACAGGTCTTCTGCTGTTTCCACTACGCCAGTGGTCATTCCATGGAACCATTTTTTCCCCAATGAAAACTCAAGTAAATCCTTGTAGAAAAGACATAAAAATGATGACAGTTCCCCAGGGAGTTTCAATCCACTCCTCGCCCCTACTTTTGGGAAGAAACACTGAAGCTATGTCCCTGAGCACCCTGGAAAACCAGTGCACTAAGCCACGCAGCATCAAGAAATCTCCCCGACAGGGATACGGGGTCAGAAGACCTACAGGTGGCTTCCAACTTGGACACCGCCGTGCAGGGATGTAAGCCCAGGCAGACAATGCATTTTCTACCAGCATGCCATGGGTGTTCACAACTTGTCTCTTCTCCTTGTGGCCAGCTCACACCATTTCCTGCCCAAAGCCTTTCCTAACTCCTTCCTGCCACGGAGGCAGCCATGTACTCTGCTACTGTTGTTCATTGGACATAAGCGCTCAACTGAATTTATTACACTGTGCAGGGCACATCCTGTATCTGTAGGGTCTGGCATACAGTAGGCACTGAGTAAATTTTTATTAAGTGAATAAAATTTTCTTAGCCCTAAACTACTAAGTCATTTACTACTGGTTATACCATGATAACTTTACTATGAAGAAATGCAATTGGTAACTTATATTAGAAAAAAAGTCAGAAGAATATTTCACTTTCATAAGCTGTTTATACCATCAAAGCTCATTTTTAGATGGCACACTCGTCATTTTACAAACATGGCATTACTTTAGATTTTTTAAATCACATTAGAATGTGAGGAATGGGATTAATTTCTCTTCCGGAAAATAAGGATGATGGTTTTTGTTTGTCCTACTGCTTTTAAAATGCCCACCACACTATAATCCAAGTGAAGAGAGCCCAGAGCATAACCTAGACCAGTGATGGTGACTCTTTTAGAGCTTTCAATGACACAAACAGCCCGCTGCAGCATACGTGCTATAGGTTCCTGCAGCTACCCCAAACTTTTTGGATGACTTAGGAAGATGTTTGGGCCCTGTCCCTTCAAAATGCAGTTTCGACTGGATTATCCAGAAGTCATCTCATTCCTCGGCTTCACTCTACCATCCGTATTTGGTTTCTAAATGCTTGGTAAATATCACTGAAAAGCTACTGTCAGATCTCCCCCTAGCTTCTGCATCTCGCTTGCTGGTCAGAGGTCTGGAGAAGAGCTGACGGGAGCCAGGAGCTGAATATCTAATGCCCAGAACAAGGCTGGCACATACCAAGCATTCAAGAAATATCTGTTGAACGATTCAATGTGGAAATATTAGAACTGAATCTTATCGTAATCTAAAGATGAAGTTTCATTTATAAACATTTTAATTGTGTACGTCCTATTAACTTTGATTCTAAATGAAATGATCTCAGATGTTTGCTAAGTGTTCTTCTATAACTTGAAAGGCATTTAAAAAATCCAAGTGTACCTCACAGTTATCGGAAGGACTAAGATGGTAAGGCAGCTCTTGAAATGCAGAAAAGGCTCTAACTTGTCTCACTCCCATAGCCCTGCTTGATTGGGACACCACTAACCAGGTGCCTGGAGCTCAGCCACCTGATTTCTGCGGCTCCAGAACCTTCCCTTTCATCCATCCTGGGGACTTGGACCCCGACCTGAGAAACACTGACCTGAATGAGCCACCAGGCAGAACGAACCACTCCCTTCCTCATGAACTCAGTGTTTTGTAAGAAGTAGATTCATGTGGCTTTTCACACTGCATTTATTTAGTAAGGGGTTTGTGTCTCTCATCAGGATGAGCACTCTTCTGTATTCAGCATGCCAAGCACCTGGTGTCCAACAGATTTGTCTGAATTCATTCAGGATGAACAGTGTGGATTCACAGCTCTCTGTTCCTACTATAAAGCAGGGGGCGTGCGAGTCTGTGTGCCCTGGCTGAGTGCTGCAGTGTCTTCTTAGAACATTTCACGTGCTGCTCCAGGAGGAGACTACCTGCACTCATACCTGCATGCCGAGCACCTCCTATCGGGGACTCAAGGCTGGCTCTGCAGCTGAGCCACCTACCACAGGATGCAGAGTGGCGAGCACCACCAGACAGGTGCAGAGCAGGTGCTGCTGCTGCTGGCCTAGGCAGGATGGGGCTGCTGGAGCGCCAGGGCCTCAGCGGGCCAAGGGACAGCATCTGACAGGGCCTTGCAGGTGAGACTAAGGAGACATCGGCCCCATGGCTGTCTGTGGCATCTCTGTGATTCCTAACACTCTCTGGAGGTCTCTGTGGAGCTAAGGCTTCCTACTACATCACAACAGTTATGTGGCTTCTGAAGTGCTGCCCAGGGCAGACCCTGTCGCCGCTTTCCGTTCCGCTTTCTACCACCAGACAAACATTGTTATTTTGAACTGTTCTTTCCAGGCCAAGGGACATGAGCGCCACATCTTCCAGACACCTCACAAAGGACTGAGTGGTTTGGTGAGCTGTGGCCGCCAGCAGCAGCCAGGGCAAAGGTAGCCAAGCCCTGCCCCTCCTGCCCTGCCTGGCTGCCTCCTGCTCTGATTTCTCAGCAGATAGGGCCTGAGTGCCAACGCTGTCTACCATGTCCCACAAAGCAGCAATTCCTTTAAAAATGGGGGGGGGGCTTCATTTTCTGAATCAGGAAGAGAGATATGTTAATCTCCAATTTCCACTATAAAATTTCATTTCCTCCATGTTATATAAATAATCATAGCCCATCGCTCCCATATAATCATTCACAACTTTGTACATACATTTAAAAACAAGTTAAAACTCTTTAAATGTGTATTTCTTTGTTTTCTGGCTGTAAATGAGATCTCTCTGCATACTAGTAATAGTCATGGCGGAACAAACACCATTCAAACCAACACCATTTACAAAACTAGACTTTCCCTGATGGACTCACTAGTTGATACTCAAGCCAAGACTAATAGCTAGTTCACTCATTTGCAGAGTTTATTGATTACTGAAGCAATACAGTCTTTTAATGATGACATCCAAATTACAGGGCACAATTTACAACTGTTACAGTCATCGTTTTAAGGGTTCAGAGTCTGAATTCCCACCATGCACATAGTTTTTCATGTATGTCTTGGCTATTCTGAGTACCTCGCCACTTTACCACAGCAGTGTAACAAGTTCTGACTCCCTTACCCAGCCCTACCACACCTTACATGTTTGAGTTCAGCAGGCTAAGGCTGTGTGCAGTACAGCCCTTATGGCTCAAGAAAATGTCCCTCGATCCAGGCCTGCTAACATTCATTATTTCTTAGCATTTCAGTTGTGGTCTCCCTTTATCAGAAGCAGTTAGGTTAAAACCTGCTTTGGGCAAGGGATCCTCCAACCAGGTAAATAAAAGGACTCCCCACCTAAGTCCTATGAGCATATCATGTGACTCCCCTATGTAATCTAAACAAACAAAAAAGGTGAGACAATTTTACAATCATACAAATTAGTCACACTGGGAACATTTTCAGCATAGGCTATTTTATATATAACAAATTATAGTAAAATATGTAAAAGGCTACAGGGTGAAAGAGTAAAAAGAAGTGGAGAAATACTCAGAGTAAACATTGGCCCCAGATTTTTCAATTGTGACTCAATGAATCATTCACATCGTTTTCAAATTCTGTGTTGTATAACACACACTCTTAGAGGCACAGCCACAGAGTTATCTGTACGAGGTTACACGGTGGCGAGAGTGAAGAAGCCAGGCTGACTAGCTAAGGCTCAGACAGGCTCAAGGCTCAAACCTGAAAAAACCTATGGAAGAACAGCTGGACTGTGAGTAAGGTGAACTGATTTTCTATGTGAAAACGTAATCTGGAGAGGTAAGAATATTTAAAGGATATGAATTCATACCATACACAGTAATTCTTGATGCTCACCATTTCTTTTAAAGTATATTAAATGTTAAAAAAACAACTGATTTCATTTTGTGCATGTTATCTGGTTCTGTTTGATAAAAACTAAAATTATTTCTTATAAATCAGGTCTGCTCCAGGTAGACTTATTGTTACCATTTATTAAATGCTCGGTCAAAACCATGGCCAAGGAACACCTGAGACTGGAGGGCGGGCTGGCTCGGCTGGCCCAGCCAGTGTGGTTGCTATGGTTGCACACTTCCGAACAGGTGTGCCTGGGGAATCCCGGTGCCAATGGGGCGGGAGCAGCTGCATGGTCTCCATCGAGACCAAGTTGGCTATCAAGGAGGACATGCTTAGCCAAAAGTTCTATGAAGAAGGGCAATCGATATGTGAGCATATATCCAATGTTGGACAGGATAAAACTTAAAAGAAATCACTGTAAAACCTACTCTTTACAGTCTTAACTGATAAAACTAAGACTTTAATTTTAGAAAAGACAATATAATTTGGTCCCTTGAAAGTTTCTTCATGCCCCTGCATAATGAGAAATTCCAAAGACTTTCA